AGTTACGATTGCTATAGGCGATTCTCCAACAGATGCATTTGAGCTCCGTCCGGTTCACATCAGTGGCCATACCGTCAATCTAGCTCTTCAAAGGTTGAAACTCTCTTTTGCTTCCGGGCCAGACGGCATTCCTGCATCCGTTCTGAAGCTGTGTTCGGAGTCGTTGCTCACTCCCTTGGTGTAGTTATTTAATCTGTCACTACAGGAGAGTAAATTTCCTGAGGCGTGGAAATTTTCGTTTATGTTCCCCGTCCATAAGAAAGGCGATAAAAGGAATGTCCAGAACTACAGAGGCATCACATCACTATGTTGCTGCTCCAAAGTATTCGAGATCATCATCTATGAGGCGCTCTTCAGCTCTTGTAAAAATTACATCTCCACGGCTCAGCATGGTTTCTACCCAAAACGGTCAGTTACAACCGATTTGACCGGATTTACACTGATATCAAGGCTGCATTTGCGCGAGTAGACCTCAACATTATTTTGAGCAAGCTTGAGAAACTCGGAGTGTCTGGATCCTTCATCTTGTGGTTCCAATCTTACCTTACGAACCGTTCGCTTTGCGTTAAGATTGGAGCTTCTCGTTCTGAAGTGTTCACGAACGTTTCCGGCGTTCCCCAAGGAAGTAATCTGGAACCCCTTCTGTTTTCGCTTTTCACGAGCTTTCGTGTCTACTGCCACATGAATGCCGGCTATTATACGCTTACGATGTCAAAATTTTTGTGGTTATCAATTGCATCGCTGATTATGAGGAGTTGCAGCTGATTGTGGATCGTATGCAGAGTTGGTGCTCCCGTAATCCTCAGCATCAACAAGTGCAATATGATACTATTTCACCGCAATAATATTTGATAATATTTGATTATTCCATTTCCGGGCAAACCTTAGAGAGGATGAGCCAGTTCAAAGATTTGGGAGTAACACTCGACAGCGAATTGACCTTCAAACCGCACTACAATGACACCCTGACTAAAGCTAACAGGCAGCTTGGCTTTATGTTCAAAATATCTGAAGACTTTCGCGATCCGCTTTGCCTGCGGGCGCTGTATTGTTTGTTACGTTAAATCTTAGAGTATAGAGTATAGTGTCTGGTGCCCATACCAAGCATACTGGATAGCCAGATTTGAGGGTGTGCAGAAAAAGTTTGTTCGCTACGCGCTTCGACATCTGCCTTGGCGTGACACGGCTAACTTGCCGTCTTACTTGGATCGCTGTCGTCTGCTTGGAATTGACACCTTGGAACAAAGAAGACGGAATGCTCAAGCTGTGTTTGCTGCTAAGATCATTACAAGCGAGATTGATTCCCCCGAATTACTTCGGCAGCTTTTCTTTTACGCACCTAAGAGAGTGATTAGACAGCGTAATTTTGTACATCTCGCAGTTCGTAATCGACAATATGGGTTGAACGAACCTATCCGTGCCGTCGCTAATGCGTTTAATGACGTCTATGCATTGTTTGACTTTAATGTGCCGTTAACTGTTTTTATTAGAAGACTGCCCCTGAATTAGAACGTGTCCTGTTTTTGTTTTAATTATACTTTTTTAATTCATTAATACAACCATATGTCAGATGAATCATTGAAACAATAAATAAATTAAATAAATAAATACCTTCACTATCGTAATCAGTGCTGCAAAATATCAATATCAATACGTACAAAATGCTGAATTTCACGAGCCACCTGATGTCAGTATCAGTTCACACAGTTAAGGGCCACCCACATGAGATCCGTTTGCGTTGCGTTGACGTAAATTTGACAGTTAGACAATAGATTTAGCTGTTACTTTGCCGCAACGCGTCCGATCCGGATCTAATGGGCGTGGGCGTTTAGAATATCAATATCATTCACCTCAATGTCAGTGCGCAAATGACAGTGATATCGTAAAGGGACCACTGATATTCAAAGTTCTGCCTCAAATGTTTCTTGTATACGCCAGCTAATCGAGTACCGATCTTCTGAAAACTCATCAGTAATACTAAAACAATGCAACGGTTATACAGAAAAGTTGATTTATTGAGATAAAAGTAAGAATTTCAGCTTTTACCTAGTGATACTCATACACGCAGAGAAATGATTTTTAAATTCAAATGGATATATTTTTGACTCAGGGCCTAATATATTTTTGGTATTGATTCAAATACATTATTCGGTTAATTTAAAGAAAAATATTTTTGAATCAACAAACCGGTTGTAGAGTCAATAATCTGTTTGTTGATTCTAAAAACCATTTGGTTAATTCAAAAATATGTTTTGTTGAAATAGTGATACAATATGTTTGAATCAATAACAAAATACATTAGGCCCTGAAACAAAAATCCATTTTTCTACGTGTATGGATTGTATATCAAATCTGTACCTCCTGATATTATGCTTGCCAAGAATATTAGTGTCCGAAGTGAAATTCAGTGCTAAACCACTATCTTTCGTCAATTGACATTGTTGACAGCACGCAGCAAGGATCGTAACTGCGGGTAATCCGCGTAAGTACTTGCATTTTTCTCAGGCACTTTTGATCTAACTGCAATCACTCTATCATACTCGAAATGTGTCACGACCAAATTGACACAACGACGCCCCATACGCTCTCTGACCAAAGCGCAGGGAACCACTTTCATCTTTATATTTGGCCCGATTCTGAGAAAATCAGTCATGATTATTCAGTGAAAAATGTTGTATTTATCTTCAGGCGAACTTTTAGTATAAGAAATCTGATTAATAAATTGAGCCATTTATGTACGAAGTACGTTTTATCGAAGACAACAAATCAAGAAGGCTGGCAACTTTGCCAGAATCCAAGCGACAGATATAGTAGCGCTGCGCTTGAGTGAATGTGGAAGCAACGCATAGAAAAATGAGCAAATACACAAACCCTTCGTCTGAGGATGTAATCTTTGCTATCAAATTCGTTCGAAGCATTTACCTTTGAGCGGCAGATGACGCGATTGTACCTGTCTCATAGCGTTCGTATGAGGAAATGGAAGAGTTGCCAGTCTTCTTGATTTGTTGTCTTCGGGTTTATTCAATACTACCGAGCTCAGGAGAATGAAAATTGGACGTATTTGCATGTTTTGTAGGGGTGACCCCAAACTTACGATCGGAAGGGTATTTATTAGTTTATTTGTTTGACAGGTTCAATGTAATCATAACGATGGTTTGCTTTTCAAACCAGCAGTGGAGCGCTACATTGAGCCTGTTGATGTTGATAATCAAAACAATAAATAAATCAAGTAGATGACCCATCTTGCCCCACACCCATCCTTACCCTACACGCTATTTCAAAACTACTCAAATTTGGGTGGAATCCACCCAGATCGGTCAAAACTGAACCTACCCAAAAATGGATAAACTGTGTTGGGAGTGACAACTTGACAAATGCACAACATTGACATGAAACCGATCGACGTTGTTCATTTGTCAACTTGTCACTCCCAACACAGTTTACCCATTTTGGGTAGGTTCAGTTTTGACCGATCTGGGTGGATTATACCCAAATTTGGATAGTTTTGAAATAGCGTGTACTCTAAATGTGTTTCGTCTTCTTTTGATAATGAGCAACAGCGCAAGTAGGCGAACTCAATTCAAGGAAATGGGACATTCGGGTCAATGTACTTCAATCGAAGAGCACACATACATTGCACATACAAAGAAATGACATTACACATACTACAGACACAGGCAATCACCTAGATGCTACAGAACAGAAGTGGAAAAATCCGAAAAGAAACAGGTTTTCTCGATTTTCATCCTATATTGTCTCAATTTAGATTTGTTCAAAACATATAAGCTAACTGCTGTAACAACTGTATCATCTCGTCTGTACGGCGAAGACAAGCCAAACCATCTGTTAATATGCGAATTCACTTCAAAACACACAGCTATACTTTCGTTATAATATATATATGATCAAGAACAAATAGATGTCGGTTAATGTTGGTGCAACTTCCCAGAGTAGTGAGGAAACATTGCTCAACCGGACTGTTAACACTGAGAACTATTTTGTTTCCTTTTGCTGATTACTGTTGATTCTGTAATACTTTCGACTAGAGTGTGTAAATAGTATTTACATAGATATATCTGTAAAACTTTGCTTTTATGCTGAACAGTGTGGTATACAGTATTTGGTTGAATTTGTTCGTTTCTTTATCGTCTAAAAAGAAAGAAAAATATGGAAAACCAAAACAAATACTTACCAAACAGAATGAGAACGATGAAGCTGTCAGTGTAGAAATCAGGTGAAAACGGTGATCAAAATAATACTACGTGTATAAACGCCGCCAAGCGCACGTATCCACCCCCTGTTGTGAGTGTGTGATGCGCGAGCAAAAGGAACAGTAGTATGGATATGAATCGAAACAAACGCCAAACACAACCGACAACTTTTTACTCGAATTCCAATTTTAATTCAATAACATTGACCAAGTTTATTGGAACAAAGTCTAATTCATGCTTTTGTCTCCAATCTTCTGTCTAGATGTAATCTGTTGCATACCGGGAGGAAAGAACATATCATACAAAACGGAAACAGACAGTAACTAACGAATCGATACAGCCAGACTGTAACTATTCTAAAGGTTTCGTTTTTCGTTTCTGCCGCAGCCGTCTTTCCTACGTTAGTTTTTGCTTTATTTGCCATTTCTTTTTCTTTTTTGGCTGCTATACCGTCATAATTTTAATGGAAAGAGTTTGCTTAGTTAACTTTGCCCTAACAGAGAATTGAATCTACAACGCGCGCATCTCATCCGATGGAACCATCACACGATTGGACTACAATAGCTCATCGCACACACGCTTTCTTCTCCCTATTTCAGTGCATTTGCTTATTTACTCACGCACGCCTTGCTGCCGGGAATTAGTCGGTCTTGTATGCTATTATTTTAAATATTAGGTTTTCGTTAAAATCAAAACATGATAGAAAAAAAAAAAACTAATCAAAACTTATTGGTGTACACGTGTTTGTGTATGACATGTGAACTAAATATCAGGATAAAAACACGAGGGAACGTTTATCATGGGCGTGATTGTATTAAATTAGTTTCGTTTTAAAAACAAATTTGACTAAATCCAGCATGGACTGTTTTCATTCTCATTCAACTTAAATAGTGCTCTCTGCATAAGTAAGGAATAAACTGGATCCTTCCATTCTATAGACTGTTATATTCTATTTATAGGTGTTTTCTGATTTCTTTTGTTGTTTTGCTTCATCACCAGCAGGATTTAAATATTTTGTTGTTTGTTTGTTAAAGTTTTGCATCCATCTCCGCTACTCGCTACGTGCTTGTTTTGCATTATCTTAAATATAACTTCTTTGCATATGTTCTAAACTTCATCCACGCTTTCTAAATGATGCCTAATTAGTTGCTTTTCGTGTGTTTTTGTTTCTTGTTTTGTAAGTGTCTGTGTATCTAAGTAGATTCCTGCCTGTCTATCTGTGTATGTGTGGTGTACCTATTTGTAATTGTTTTATTGTATAATTACTGTTGTTTTCCGCCTACGATTCAACCACGATTTAGATTTTATTATTTTGTTTCTCCAAGACAACTGTCAATGTTTATAATATCCGGTATCCATTGTATTTCCTTCCCTTTATGCCAAGTAACCAGAACCAATTAGTATGACTCCCCCCAAAACATGCTAGCAGACGTTTAGTCCGTTTCGGCGCGCATTCCGCGAACCTCTCCAACGTGGCGTTGTTTGTCCAGTTCCTCTTTGGTCTTGTCCTCCAGCTCACGAATGTCCTCCATGGTTAGCCCGTGCCAGCTGTCCATCCAGCAAAATACTTGTCTGCAAAGAAAAGTAAAACGTAATGTACTGTTGGTCGGAATAAATTCATTTCCCGGTGGGTTTGCCATTCAATTAAAAGCAAAACGAACTTCATAGTGGTATTTATAATGACAAACGTTAAAGTTTATTTCGCAGTGCTGTGATAAATATTCGATTAATTAAGTGTGAAATTGTGCTTGTGCCACGGTAGAATTGATCCTACGCGTACCCCGTAGTGATCATTTAGTGGATAGGTACATAGGAGAACGGTTGCTGCTGCAGCTGGTTCTTGTTCAATCTGTGTTTTTTTTTTCCTTCGCCCGGCATGCTATTGGCAATTTTGTTTTATGTCCGTGATCATTCCATCTGGGAAAATTTTCCTCATGCCATAATAATGATATTTTTTCTTAAACTGCGATCTAGAAAAGTTGTCTCAGAGTTATGATTCTTTTCCTATGTCTTCTGTAACACCTCAATTACAGAAGATTCTATTCTTGAGAGGAATGGAGCCAGTGCTGAGATTTGTCATTGTCATTGACAGACTTTCGCGCGATATTGACAAAATTGTTCGTCACATAGTCACTGACAGACTTGATCCTCAAAAAAACCTTCGTCAAAATCTCATTCATTTTTTCGTCAATGACAAAGATTCACCTGGTAACAAAAAGTGTAATTTAGTACATTCTGTGTCACATTATTGTTATCCAAGTAGCTCAGGACGTAGATACTTGTTCACTTAAATGGATCCATGTAGTTGTTTTGCTCAAGTCATTTAATTTTGTTACAAATTTAGCTAATAAACAAATCTGCACATGTTCGTCACTGACACCATTGTCATTGACAATTGACATGGTTTGCATTGACTATGACTGTTAGCTAAAATGAGTGACCAAAGCAGAATTGTCAATATCACCGTGTACTGTCGAGATTTTGCAGCACTGAATGGAGCAAAGTAAAAATACGACCAGAAATACCTTTTATTAATATACTCATGGCTAACTTAGATCTATGTACATTGAATTCTAGACTGCAGTTCTTTATGTTGCTAAATGCATCGCTTCATATATATCCTATATCTTCTAATATTGCTGTCTTAAATCGGTACTTTGAACATTTTTCTCTGTGCCTCTATTTTGCGATCTAATAACAAATTTGTGATCTGCAGAGTGAGGAAATGGAAGTTAGAATTGGAACGTACTCTTGCTTATTCAATTCATACTTACAGGGCTGGTAGTGCTGATGCGGTGTAATAGTAGTGACTTTAGTGACTAAAATTACGGAAATAGTGACCAAATAGTGACTTGTAAATAATTAATAAGTAACCATTTATATGGTAACTTAGAAATTGAAATACGGTTTGATATTGAAATAAACTTTTTTCTCACAACGGAATCTCCTGTGAAGTGCTTTTGAAGTGATTTGAATAGTTTACTTTTGCTTACGTTATACATGATACCTAGCAAATAGTAAATCCCATTTTTTGTATGAGCTTGAATTTGATTTTGCGTTTGAAATCTTTAAAATTTTGATATATCTAGGTTGATAACTTTGATAATTCGCTAAGAACTTTTCACAGAATTTCTTCAGAATGTTCTCGAGAACTTTTTTAGAATAATTTTCCAAATAAGCTTTTACAAAAATAATATTGCATTCTTGAAATTCATTGCCAAACAATCAACAAAATTCGTGGAAATAGATTGTTTTCGTAGTTGGAAATGCTTAACATCAAATATCAGAATTAAAGTGGACATTTGATGATGAGGAGATGAAAATAAAGAGTTGATAGTTCCGTTATAGTAAGACAGTGTGAAATTTGTATATTGAAAGTAGTAAGCGATAAAGGACAATTTTGAGGAAGGTACGAATCGAGTAGAGAATCTCCTTTAGCAAGCTCATCCGTTAATGAGGGATGGTGAGGGGTGTTTCCCCCTGCCACCACTGGCAAAAGGAATGATCACCGATTTGCTCATGTACCTCCGATGTGCGAAAACAGTTCTATCGATTGTTTCACACTCAAGTAGCCATCTGACGTAAACAACTACCCGTTTCGTACCTTTCTCAAAATTGTCCTTGCTCGCTGCTCCTTAGAATTTCCATGCAATTAACTTCAGAAATTTAATCAATTTCTGGTTAGAATAACCTTGAACTGCTCTCCGGCATTCATTCCCCTCAGAATTCCCTTAGTATTTCCTCAGAATTCTCAGAACAAAAATCCATCCCAGAATAACTTTGAAACTCTTCTCAGAATTCCTTTGAAATTGAACCCTCAAAATTCGATTCCATTGGATTTTTTCTCGGAATTTATTTCGAACTTTTTAGAATTCTATTCTATTAACCCCAGAATTCTTTTAGAACTATCCGTACAGACCATTTTTGGAGTTCACTGGATTTTCATGGAATTTTCATCAAAGTTCCCTTAAGCAATATTTCAGAAATAATGTTGAATTCCTATTTAAATTCTTATTAGAATCCTCACCCAATTATCATAGAATTCTTCTCAGAACTTTCGTTAAAATCCACCCTCAATTATATTATTTTCAAAATTGTTTCGGAGCTGAATTTTGCGTCTCTAATAATTTAAACAATAACCAAAAGCGACGCTCGTATGTGATAAGCCAAGTTTAACTATATAGGTAAATCTGACTTAAGATTTAAGCGGAGATGAAGAAATCGGTTCTCAGAGCACTAAATTTTACATTAGACTTTCGTAGTCTGTACTTTGGTATTCTTCTCTGATATATCTTGGTGTCATCCCTAGAATCCTTTAAAATTCTCTTAAAATTTACTTGGGATTTTTAAAAGTTCTTAATCATCCTTGAAAGACTTTTGAAAATCTATCACAGATAAATCCCTTTGGAAAGTTTCCAAGGTTAACAAATTATTTTCTGGGGAAGGAGGTATATTTTCTGGGAAAGGTGATATATTTTCCCCAATTTTCAATCGAAATTGAAGGCATTTCCTAATAGTTTTCCTGGTGCTCTAAAGTTTTGCGGTTCACTGGTCACCCTAGTTAAAATTTTCAATTTTTTAACAGATATGTATATTTTGTTAAAACTACTGTAGACTTCCTTAGTGCCAAGTACTCAATTTTAACATTTTGTTGATATTTCTAAATTTCACTCTATTTTAGTAGTGAAAAAGTGATTTTAGTGACTATTTTTAGAGAAATAGTGACTTTAGTGACTTTTTGGTGTAAAAAGTGACTTTTTAGTGACTGGCTTCAAAATAGTGACCAAGTCACTAAAAAGTGATCTGCTATTAGCCCTGTACTTATGTTTCGATAACAAATTTATCATTTGTTTTATTTTTAAAAAGCATGAAAAATACCAGAATAAAGAATTATTGGAATTATTTTTTAAAAGTCACTATTTGGTCACTATTTTTGTAATTTTAGTCACTAAAGACACTATTATTACATCACATACCCTTTACCAGCCCTGCACAATAGGCAGCATGACTGCGCCGTCGTCATCCGGTCGGCATCGACTTGCACTGGTATGAAAAGTCAAGTAGCGCTAGTTGTTCTTTCACAACAATCCAATTCAATGCTGGTCGGAGCACATCTTGGTATGGTGTGAATGCTGTCATATACTTGCAACTAGGAAGGCTCTGACAAAAAATACTCCAAAAGGGAGGGAGAGTGGCCATCGCTGCGAGGCGGAACATCAGCTGCCAGGCTACTACCAAGCTTCCAGCTGAAAATTATCGAAGCCATCGGAATTGAGGTGAGCACATCGCTTGGTCCAATCACCATCATCGCGGTCTACTGCCCCAAGCAAACCAACATTAGGGACGGCTCGGCCACAGACCTCCCAAGAGACATCATCAAGCTTACACGACGGCGGCAAAATTTCGTCATCGCTGGCGACCTGAACGCCTGGGGCAATAGTCGGCGAAATCAGAACGGCACAATATTATACAACGATCTGCAGCAAGCCCACTACAACATTCTGTGTCCGAACACTCCCACCCGGTTGAGTCGATCCGGAGCTCATGCCACCATCGACATCTTCATCAGCAACATTGGCGATAACATCTCCCAACCTATCGCCTATCAGGAACTGAGCTCGGACCACTATCCGGTGGTGGCCGAAGTAGGTTCCTCGGCCAATAGGTTTCAAGTTTCCCGGCGAAATTACCATCGTGTCAACTGGCAGCAGTATCAGCGCTGTGTGAACACAGCAATCGATTACGACGTCCTACCGGAGTCGTACGAAGAAGTCGATCAGTGTCTGCAAGCCATCGAAGAGGCGATATCCCGTGCCAGGGAGCAGCACATACCAGCATCCAGACAGGTGAGTCATACTCTGAACCTTGACAGCCCAACCAAAGATCTTATCAGGCTCCGTAGCACCATTCGTAGGCAGTTCCAGCGTTCTGGGCTGCCCCACTTGAGGACCAATGTCAATAGGCTAACCAAAAATAATCCAGGCCAGGATGGTGGAACTCAGAAATAACGATTTTACCAAAAAGATTCGCTCTCTCCCAGATTGTGCAAAACCATTTTGGAAGATGATCAAAATTTTGAAAAATAAGTCGAGACCGATCCCTTTGCTTTCCTCTGTTGACCACTTAGACCCATCCCTACTGATAACCCCAGTTGAAAAGGCCAATGCTCTTGGTCAACATTTTGTGATTTGTGGTGAACCCCCATGGGCCTGCCGTACTGGAGGCAATGACTAGAGTCGCTGACACCCCCGTAGTAGTGCATGATCATAGTAGAATATCGGTTGATGAGGTGAGAGCAGCTCTATTAGAAGTACTAAAAACATGACGGCTGCGGGTATGGATGGTGTAGTCAACCTCGAGTTGAAAAACTTGAGTATTGACTTCTTCAACCATTTTAGCGTTATCTTCAACAAATGTTTGGAGCTTGGCTACTTCCCTGCATGCTGGAAGTTAGCCAAAGTAATTCCAATAGACAAGCCTGGCAAAGATCCTACCAGTGCCAAAAGCTATCGCCCCATCAGTCTCTTATCCTCCATCTCGAAGCTATTCGAAAAATTGATACTCAGCCGTCTGCTGGTGTTTTCAAATGATAATAACATCTTTCTCAAAGACAGTGTTGGGAAAATATCAAAAAATCAAATCTCACCAACGCCCAAGATCACGCTTGATTTTCGTAGACAAAAATCAACAAGCAAACAACTGCGGTTGATTTTGCAATGTGATAGCGCAGCTTGGAATATCAAGCTAACAAAACTCACCAACTGCAAATTTCACCAAACTGTGGTGAGATTGAGTTTAATGATTTTTGCTTTACACCCGAATACAACCAAAATTTCCATAACGGCTTGCAGCAGTCGCTTCGCGTCTACCATCGGTGAAGATTAAAAAGAGATAGCAAACTATGATTTCTCTTTCTAAGAAAACGATGTGCAATGGAATCATTTTTGTGTCCAGTCAACTCTCAGCTTGATGTTTGCACGTTGTGAATAGTCTCGCAATATCAAATGAGCTTATAAAATCAATATCAAGCATGATATTTTGTTCCAATATTACGCGTGATATTGCGAGCCCATGAGAGCGGAAAAATATCAATTGATTTCTGATTTTGCCAACACTGCTCAAAGAGCAATTCGGGTTTAGGAAAGGCCACTCTACCATCCACCAACTCGCACGGATTACTAACATCATCAAGCGGAACAAGTCCGTTTCCAATACATCTGCCATGGCATTGTTGGACGTCGAGAAGGCGTTCGACAATGTCTGGCATGATGGTCTAGTGTACAAGCTGCATCGATACAACTTTCCGATCTACCTCGTGAAGATCATCAAAAACTACTTGTCGGGCAGATCATTCCAGGTCTACTTGAACAATGTCCCCTCTGATACGTTCAACGTTGATGCAGGGGTCCCTCAGGGTAGCCTGCTTGGGCCTATCCTATTCAACATTTTCACGTCAGTCGTTCCTCCTCTGCCGGGTGGTGGTATCCTGTCTATCTATGTTCGCAGATGACACCTCCATCATCTATAAGGGTCGAGTGATCCGTGCTCTGGCGAGTAAACTACAATCAGGCCTGGATGTTTTGTCCGACTATTTTAAGAGCTGGAAGATTTGTATCAATGCAGCTAAAACACAAACCATTCTGTTTCCACACTCGTATTCACCTCGGCTTGTTCCGCCTGCTAACGTCAAGATCCATCTTGATAGCACTCCCATTGAATGGTCGAGTGAAGTAGTCTACCTTGGTCTCACCCTTGATAGCAAATTGCTATTCCGATCCCATGTGGACAAGACATCCACCAAGTGTAACATCTTGATCAGGTCGCTCTACCCTCTCATAAACAGGAAGTCCACCATGTCCCTCAAAAACAAGCTTGCTGTCCACAAGCAAATCATTCTGCCGGCTATTGAGTATGGTATGCCAATCTGGGAGAGTTGTGCTAAGTGCCACCACTTAATGCTTCAGAGGATCCAAAACAAGATCCTCAGAATGATCCTTAACAGTCCACCGCGAACTCGTAATTCTGATATTCACCACCTGGCCAATCTTCAAACACTCGAGGAGCGAAAGACTTCCACGGTGGAAAGGTTCAGAGTTGCCTGTCTGCGATCAAACCACCAGATCATTCGTGATTTGGCAACCTAGTTTAAGGAGTTAGGTGTTCAAGTAGGTAGGTTATCAACTTTTTAAATTCAAACCAAAACAATCCCACAAAGGGTATCCTGTAAATTAGCGCTAAACGCAATCATCACATTAGAATAACCAATTAACTAGAACAAAGATGAAGAGCCAAAGGCTAACCAATTGAAATGTTAAACCAAATGTTGAAACATAAAAACCTAGAAAATAAACGTAAATTTTACTACTACTACTCCAAAAGGGAGGGGCCTAATTAGCTATTCTGCAAGTTTTATACAGACTCTAATTCAGTGAACGTGATCAGTTGCAATTCCATTAGCTGTGGGGACTGTCGTCACAACTAAATTGAAAGACCCAGAAAATGGACGGGACATCGGAATGAGAAGTATTACCATCGGCAACAACATCCTTCGAATGTTACACAGCTACAATGATCACCTGCGTAATGCTGCTGCCAGGAAAGCCAACTGAGCACGCTGTCTCTGGAGATACCAAAGTACACTAGTTTGTTCGCTTCGATCCAAGATGGCAGTTTAATTAGCGACGGAGATGGTTACCACAAATTTGGTAGGACCCTGAAGGACGCGGACGTTGGAGACTCTCTGAGTAGCTTCACCGTCTTTAGGGCGTTCCACTGCAGTCGTTCCGTTAGACTGACTACAACATTGGTGTAAGCACGCCATCCCGAAAGTACCAGCATGTAAATTTCTTGGATCCCAAATGGCCTTTTTCAGGGCTACTCGATTTCTACGCTATAGAATTTCTTTTAAGATCTCTAGATGGTGGGTAAAACATATTCACAAAATTTAAATATTTTTGAATCATAGAGAGAAATAACAGCAAAGAATCATCAATCACTGCCAATAGCAGTGTTCTGAAATTCAATATAAGCTTTGGGTCATTGAGTCCCCGTGAGAGAATAAACTTGCGTAAATCATCCAGCTCTAAACCTTCGTGCAGACGTCAATTGGTAGCACGTTTATGCATTTCGTGATAGTTCTCCATCCAAAATACAACAGCAATATCAACAAATATCGCCAAAATAAAAGGAGCGTCTAAAGGCAACAGAACCTATTCGTTCCGTACCCTCCAACTCCAACAACCGGAAACGGTCCTTTTCACTTTTCAGGGCCACCATTTGAAAACACAAAAGGCCCTCTTTTCAGAGCCAACAACCAACAAACAAACGACCTTTTTAAGGGCCACCAATTCAAATATAGAAGGAGGAGGAATACCATTTGGCGGAGCCAATTTCGCGGAATACCCCATTTTACGAAATGCCCCAGTTCGCGGAAACTCATTTCGAGGAATAGTCCATTTTGCCGAAACCCATTTCGCGGAAAATCTGGAATTGCATTTTAATGAAGTACTAGTCTTATGAATTTAAAAAAAGATTACGAATTCAGGATAAAGAACTGCTCATTTAAACAGGAAGGAAAATTCTCTTATAGTTTAAAAACCAGTTTCCCATATTTCAAAAAGCAAATGAAAACTCCAAGGAACTACTCTTGTTTAAAGGAAGGAAAATTCTTCTAAAGTATAAAAATTAGAATTCACATTTTGTTACATCCAAGTCAGAAGATCACTAGTTTCCCATATTTTAGAATGCACGGAAATCTCTAAAGAGCTGTACTTCCGCCAAATGAGTGTTTCCGCGAAATGAATTGCCACGAAATGTCGTACAACCGTGAATGAATTTAGAGTCGTGACATAGATATGGGCCCGGATGGGCAAGGGACGATCCTCCGGATGATTCGGAACATGAAGTGTTTCAAGTGTTTTGGAAAAAAAATCACGGAGCTCTTGGATCAGTTTCGTGGATTAACCATTTTCATGGATGTTCCGAATCCGGAGAACCATTTCGTTGTCCCCAGTGTCCATATTTTGGAACCATGACTATATTCTGGCTAATTATGAACATGCGTGCTAGTTAATCAACATTATAGTTTTTAATCTACGTGTATGGATTTTACAATTTCGGATCTATTTGCAATCAAAATAATCTACAGACTCTAGGGATTCTAGTAGTAGCACAAGATTTGATATTAATCAACTAATGACTAAGCTATGTCACTGCAAAATTGCCGTTACACGTTTTTTGGAATGTTATTCATTAAACTCTCCTTGTTTGAACTTTTTAAAGCATTCAAAGTGTTTTTTGTTACCTCATATGTTAAGTTTACGATTTTCAGAGTTGGTTGAAAATGCTATTGAATATCAACATGAAGGGTAGGTTGATAGTTCCGCTAGAGTACGGCAGTGTATAGAAGGACCCTTCGCTCATTTTCAACTTATATTCTATTTTCATACTGCCGTACTCTAGTGGAACTATCAACCTACCTTCTTCAGAACTTTCTCTAGCTAATAAATTATCACACTAAAGCTTCATGTTGATAATAGATAGCATTTCCAACCAACTCAGAAAATTTTGAAGACAAAAAAGATGTTTTAAATGTTACTTCAAATTTTGATCGGATGTGAACCCCAACTTCCCCTACCTGGTGTGTTAGGCAAAAACAACCAGATTTTGATAAGTTTATGCTTGATTCCTCAAAGTAAATGGTCTTAGTTTCTGTAGTATATCGAATGAAATTAAAAATTGAGGCCTCTTGCTTAGTAGATTGTTCGATCTGAACTCCAGGACGATTTGGAGTACCTAGAGCTAGAATATCTTGTATCCATGGAAAACGATCGTAAGTGATGCGAATATTCATACTCAAGAATCCGGCTTGGAAACATTTCACTGCTAGAGACTATATGATTTTGTTTGGGCATGTTTTGTTAGCTAAGGGCATGGCGCAAGCACTGGGTAATTTTATCGATCATATTATCTGAACGATTTAGAAGGCTTAGAATCATAAGTCATGCGAACGAATCTTGAATGATAAATCTAGATTTTATGAACATGTTTGAACATTTTTTAATGTCAAGAATTAACACTCCAGAATAGTTTGGATGACCTAGAACATCCCAAAACAAATGTTGCTGTTATTTGGGTTTTTTTAAGTGATTTTTGATAAAAACTACAAAACAAATTTAATTGTGTAAAATAAATCCCAGAAGGGTTAAGACACTGTATTTCCAATACGGAGACAACGGGTTCAATTTCCTGTTCAGTGTAGAAAACAACTTGCTGGGAGTAGACATGAGCTCGTTAGTTCTAGAACATAACTTACCGGTGGAAAATCGTGAACAGTCTTCGCTCTGATTTCTGGATGAAGTTTTCTATTCTCGATTGTAGCCCAAACCACTTGAACTCGCAGGTGACGAGCTTGTAGCAGGTCATCACCGGCTGAACCTTTTTCTTCCAGTCCGGACCGACCAGCGGTCCTCGGCCAGTTTTCACCGATTTGAATCTACGGGTAAAAGAAAAGGGATTAATCACACATTTCGTCCTGCTGACTTTTATCAGTTCCAGTGAGGACACAGTACTTAGTAGGATCTTCGGTCTCTCGGTAGTCAGCGGGAGTCACGGGATCGTTGGCAATGTCAATGTACAGCACCTCACGCTGTTTCAGCTTCTCTGGCGGCAACTCATGAGCCTGCGTTTGCATAGGGAGAAACACACAAAGTTGATGGAATAAAGACAAAAGAAATACGATTAAATATCATTTCACTATCGAGAAAAGTTCTGCGGCCGTGGCAACGACCGCAACCCAAATAGGTACAAGGTTGGTAGAATATAATGAAACTAGAGGGATGCTTAATGAACAATGTTTGCTTTAGTGAAAGGTGTAGAAATTTTGATTAGTAAGCGTGCAAGCAAATTGATTAAATGTATCGATTGAAGTGTGAATTTTCAAGTGCGACTTTTATGTTCAGAGAAGCATGCAGAATTTGTTGGACGTGAAACGATGGAACTGTACACATGTGTTGGAAATTGAGGAAGGTATTGAGCGATGGAAGAGCATGAAGTTTTTAATATTTATATTACACTAAAATACTTATATATTCAGAAAAGAAGGTTTGCTAAGCACTCGCCATTACATCTGTACAACAACAAAATGTTTCGTATGTAGGGTATCCTGATTGGATTGGTAAAAAATAGTAAAAAAAAAGGTAAAAAGTGTCGAAGCCGTCATTTTCCTATGCATTAAATTGGGTTCTTTGAGGGTATTGAGGTAAATTCATTTTCGTAATCTGCATTGAAATTGGTATTGAAATCCAAAATTTAATCAATTTTGGTACACTAGAACTATTTTAAATTAATGTGATTACATTAGCAAAAATCACCAACTTAGCGCCCCTTGGTGGGAATTTGTATGGGAGTGAACTGTCAGTTAGTTAGTTTAGGGTCAAACTAAATGAATCTTGATTTAAATATCTAAATGAAAGTCTATGCGTTCGGAAAAAATATCGTTGTGCTCAGAAAATGGAGCTCTTTGAACCGATTTTTTTTTAATTAAAGAACTCAATTGTACATGATTTCAAATCAAATACTTTTAAGTTATTTTAGATTTTTACGTAAATAGCAACTTGTTTATTCCATTACCATTGTTGCCTCTGGCGCTGGAGGTCATATAAAGAATATATTGGTTGAAAATATTTTCATAAAGTTACGCTGAATGAGATAAGACAGATAACACAGGGTTGATGGCGTTATTGTCGTCAACGTCAGCGTAACGGCAATAACGTCATTAACAACACTGTTCAACGTTTGGCAGCAAAACTGTAACTGCCTCCCTGATGATGAATAAATAACTTTAAAGTTCTCCCACTGGCGCTAGTGAACATGTGAACTTCCTGTATATATATATATTATGTGCTGACCATCTAGGAAATTACTGGTTGAAGGAGAAATTAGTTCAGAGTTATCTCACTACGCAGCGCTAGAGTGCATATTATTTTCTAGTTGCTACACCCAACCGGGAAATGTAAGATTCTATTACAGATTTGCATGAAAAGTAAAGCTTGCTTCAGATAGAATTGGAACAAAAACAATTGCCTGTATTTCAATTATTTATTATTGAATTCAAGATCTTTTTTATACAAATGTAGCGTTTTCTTCATACTTTTAAAAAATACGGATAAAATTATTCGTCACGGTTTCGAAGTAATTCTCGAATTTTTCCTGTAACACGGCTCATTAGGCGGCGCACACCTTCTTCGTGCATCGTTTTAGCTATCTTATTCCACCAGGTCTTCATCTGATTGATGTCTTTGACAACCTTTCCCTTTGCCTTGAGTCTCCTCTTCATGATTGCCCAGTATTTCTCAATAGGCAGTTGGGTGGGTTAAGGTTTTTCGGAACAAACTGGACCCCTTTCTCTGAATACCATTCTTGAACGACTTTGCTGTAATGACAGCTTGCCAAATCTGGCCAAAACATTACGGCAAAAACAAATTTAAATTTGGCTGGAACATCCCCCCGAGCCGTTGCCAAGTAAAATTTTTGACCTGGGATTTGCCCGAAGTCAGCCTTGACATAGGTTTCATCGTCCATCAGAAGACACCCGTCGAACTTGGTCAGCACCTGGTCGTATAGCTTCCGCGTACGGATTTTGGCCACACTATTCTGTTTTATGGTCCGATTTGGCTGTTTGCTAGCTCGATACGACTTGATTCCTTCCCGGAGTCGAGTTCTCCTCACGGTACTATGGGCAGCACCGAAATTTCTGGCCAAATCACGGTCCGACAGATTGGGATTCCTCTTAATCGTCTTCAAAATCTTACCACGCAGTTTCCGGTCGACAGTTCTACTCCGACGATTGGCTTGAGGCTTCCGAATCGTCGTCAATGTTTCCTTATACCGTTTGATAACGCGCCATACGGTATTTCTGGGCAATTTCAGCTGTTTCGCTAGCCTAGATGCAGACCACAATGGATTTTCCAAATAACTGTGCACAATTTTTTCCCTTCTTTCGGCTTCCATGTTGATTGTTTACAAAGTACAGTCGATTTGCGGAATGTCAAAAATACATACGTGAAGCTGACAAAATTCCCGACACGTGGGCGCCAAGAACTTCCAAATCCGTCCACCAGGAGCACCACAATATGAGCAAAAGTTTGTTCCAATTCTAAATGAAGCAAGCTTTATGCAGAATATGCAATGTTTCGCGATATGTACACCTATAATTTTGTCACCGAAAGGTTTTCAACACTATTTTGTAATTTTTATGTTAGCTTATTTTTCGAACAAAGTTTGTTTCCCTAAATGCATTGCGCCTAAAAAATCATCTCGTGTAGGTTTTATAAAAAAAATATACATTCTGGAAAAAAATATGCATTCTGGAAAGTCCATTGCAATGCATTTGTTGTATGAAACATATGCAGATGACGTAATAAATCCAACCTTACATTGGATGTAAGAGAAATTTGGTTTGCGTGTATATCTCGAGAGCCTGAACATCTAGCAAGTTTCCGTCCTCGGCAAAGATGTTCAGGAGCTCAAACCGTTCTGGATAGTGGTACGTTCCCAAGTAACAATTTTGGTTTTATGAGGGTTCTGTAGACCATGATTTAGACTTGTAGAATGCTATAAAACCTCTATGAAGCTTGCAATGTTACTTGGGTTCAAAATGTTCTCACTACACAGCGCTAGTGTATGTGATGTGGTATGTGATCGTCCTGCACTGCGCATACGTCAAAAACTTGTAGAAAGCTACTGCCTCTGGCAAAGCTCTGTAGGAATTTGATATAATTATTTTCAGAACAGGGATGACAATCGATGTCTAATACCATATGGGAATCTATGATGGCAGCCTCCGGTTTGCGAAAAGGCTGTATGTATCGTATAATATGAATATTTTTGGAACGAGGTAACGTGTAGAGTCAAGTATTTAAAATTTGATTAGTTTGGAATCCAAGGTGGCTATTTCCGGTTTACATATAAACTAAGTAGAACTTGCAATATGTATATTTGAGAACGGGAGGCACATGAAGAAGCCGGAATTAGATGTCTCACATCATGTTGTGATCCAAGATGGCTAGTTCCAGTTTGTGAAAAAGCTGGAATTCGATTCCTGACACCTTTTTTGAATCCAAAATGGCGACTTTCAATTTACAATTTACAAATAGATATTTTACAATCTGAGTATTTCTAGTGCGAAAGCGAGGAGACGAAACGTAGAGGCTGGAAATCGAAGACGTCATGCATCGATTCCGGTCTTCTACTGTGACAAAGATTTGTTTTTAGTTAGGTAGGTTCCAATTTAACACATTGTAGTTTCATTTTTATACCTATGATCTTGAAATTTTTTACCTAGGGGCTGAGTAAGGGGGTTGGGTTTTTGATTAGTCTTTACCCACTAAATGACACTGATGAAGACTGCACATTGTAGTCGAAATACGTATCCGTCATAGATACAAAAAAAAACTCAATCCCTACTCTGCCATCCATTTGTTACAATTTGTTACCCCTAACCTCGAAATAGCCGCGAGTAATCGACCCCCACTTTACTAACTTTAGTTTTAAGTAATTTTGTTATCTAAACAATGAATATCGGCTCCGCAAAACTACAGCAAATGAGCCTGGAAAAATAAATAGATACCAAAATTAATGAGGTGGAATTAAATGGAAGATTACCTTTATTTTTTGCTGTAAATTTGATGTTCTTTCATTAAATCAAGTCGAAAGAAAAATTGAATATTTTTCCAAAAACTTCAGTTTTTCAAAAAAATCATAACTTGTTTTTTCCATCATGACCTATAGTGAAATAGATGTCATATTTTATCCCCTAAAACATATAAAAAATATTTTTTAAGGACACTGATTTTTAAGAAGAGCTTTGAGTGGGTTGGTTTATTTCCTTTAAATTCCGTTATAATTGCTTATCTTTTAACAGATACGCGTATTTCGTATACTACTTGCAGACTTCATCAATGCCTAGTACTCAACACAATTAATAGGTACTAAAAATCAGCAGGCATCCACTCCTATGTCACAATTTACCTAACCAGGTACCTAAATTCAGTCTCCAACAGGTAGGGGCATGATACGATGCGTTGTTTTAGGTAACATGCTAAAAAGTCTCGAACATCCGTTGCCTTGATCTCTACTAAGCAATGTTGATGGAATATGTTTAAATATTTCTAAACTTTCAGCTACGTCTAGTTTCCAAGGCGAAGATACAGTCCGCAGGATATTAATGTTATCTTTTGTCAAATTGTGCCCCTTTGTAACGATATGTTCTGCAACCTTGGTTTTAAATTCATAATTAAGTCCTTTATCCATCTCTTTGTTAGCCTTTTTTACCTCTTCGATGTGTTCCTTAAACCTTGTTTCCAAAGTCCTTTTCGTCTGACCAATGTAGATTTTATTGCAATCTGGACAAGAGATTTTATAGACTCCGGCTTTCCCTAAGACATTTATTGAATCTTTTGTTGATCCTAACAGTGACTTCAGCTGATTGCCACTGCATTTTCTGCGGATGTCACAAAGGAATCTGTAAAGAGTGTGCCTTCTCACCATTCTGAACCATCTTCACTTCGAATGGACACATTGCTACACCAAAAATGACTCCTGAAGAGGAAATATATAATTATCTGGAGTCGGAGGATGATACCTACGCCAACTTGCGTCTCTTATCAGATTTACAGTCGTGGATGGTCACAACAATTCAACAATCAGCTCGCTTATCGGGCATTCTGTCACGCAATCCTAGACCATTGATTAAAACTACCCTAGCAGTGGACCTTATAAAACTTGTGAATGGACAATACTGGCACCAAAGTGGCAAAACATTCCTAACATTGTAATTTCTTTTCGTCAATCCCCTGTCGCAATATTGTCATTATGAAAATGCCATTAGCCTTGGAATAAAATCCAAGAAATTTCAATAAAATAATGGCTAAATTAGAGATCCGAAATGATTTCCAGTGTGCATTGATATGAATTTATTTATTGAGACCTATTTTTTCTGTAAAATTAAGATGATTCCATAAAATTCATTTGATTTCTGAACCAATCTTTTTTGTTAACTTGAATTATTCTGGAGGCGCATTTTTTAACGCTCATATAATCCCAATATACACGATAAATTTTCATGCGCATATGTTTTGGAAATTCTAAAAAGTCATATATTTTCTTTAAGATTTTCACTAATGTCGCCATGAAATAAACTTGATTGCATGGTGATCTTGACACCAACACTCAAACCTATTTTTACAATTGAAAATTTCCATATGAAAAAAAAAGTTTCAGCAGAACAGAACAACAACAAGCTATTTTTTTTCCTTTGGTTTGTTTTTATCCGTCGATCTTGTTTTCCGTGCTGAGCACCAATGCTACCGACGTGCCAGGAAGGCAGCTCCCACACCTGGACCCTACCTATCGGCCCATCAACTCATGAACCGGGGACCAACGGCTTTACTTCCCATCCGAAGGAAGGCGTGATCAGAGATGTTATGCCTCAGAACATCCCGGCGGGCGACTGGGATTGAACCCAGGCCTGTTGGGGTGAGAGAAATCACGCTTACCACTACACCACCGGCGCCGTTAACAAGCTAATTTATGGCGGTTGCTTTGAAGCAATAAAAATTAAATTGGATTTACTGATTTTCAACAAAGCGTAATAAAACTGCTTGAATACAATATTACTCTTAAAGAGGCTATGAGAACCTTTTGTAGAGTATGGGACTTTCTTACAAAAGATTTTAAGACAGCTTTATTGTGATTCTCAAACATGCTTTATAAACCTTATCAAGAGTGGTCCACTAAGCTGGAAGATGATCTTATAGCGGTTATCAAAAGGTTGTGATGGAGCTATTAATTTTATTGACGGTTTTATAAAATTGATCTCAAAAACCTCGAATAGAGTGCAATAAAACGACACAGGTGTAAATAAAAAAAAAAGGGGCCACACAAGATGATAGACCCTTCAAATGTTACGTTAGGTAGTGATTAATAAAGTAATTGAGAATATGTACCTCGAATTCATGGAGCATTGAAGAATAAAACAAAAACTAATATGTGGTGGTAAACTATAACGAACAAAGTTTGGTGCACAGGTAAACAAATGAGGCACGCGACGCCTCTGTGTTTATGATATTTTTGATTATATTCTAATTCAAAGCTTCATATTTCTTGAACTCAATTGTTTGAGATTCACGCATGTTTTAATAGGGTATACGTCCCTAACCTCGGTCTAATATGCAGCCATCGATTACGTTTTTAATCATAACTCATCAATGAATTTACCTGCAAACGATATTCTACTGCTAAATGGTATGCTTAGATATGCTTATCATGTCGTTTGCTATCAGAAACCACGAAAAGTTGAAAAACTTACTTTTTTTAAGACAATAACTCACGAGGGAAATGTATGTAATATGGGTCTATTGTCCCCAAATTGGGTCTATTTATGGATGCAACTTCGTCCTATCTTGTTTGATCCTCAAAAAAACGCTCTTGGTAACGTTTTCTGATGTATTTTTTTTTATCACTATCACTGTTAACTTAATGCTCTTCATTCCTCAAAACATTTCTTAGAGAAAATTTTACGAAAACTACATTAAATCACTCAATTTAAAAATTAAAAATTAAAAATTTCGCTTATCGTCTTTTGACCGCAGAATATCTAAATCAGAACATTGTGATGTTCATTATACAGGTTTGGCAGAAAAAATCTCCCTTCCTGTTCGTTCCTTATCATCCAAATGCAAAACAACATTGTTGACGTTACTCTTATTGCTATATGCTGTCAAATGAATTTCATGGGCCATAGTTAGGAACATAGAAAAGAAATGTGTCCCTAAAGTTGGGTCCATGTTTTACTTGTGAAAACGTTGTTAAACAATTAAAATAAACATAAAATATTCAAACAGCAACTGTAAGTTTTACGTCTAGTGTGTATTATCAGGTAATTCCAATCAATAAATGCCATAATCAGGCCATTTGATGATCGTCAGTCAACCTTCCCATCTTAACCTTATAAGTCATGGCGGCTAAAAACTCCGAACATTGTGATATTCTCAACCAGTTTTATTACTTACGAGAGCTGAAAATGTATTGAAATGTTGTGATATAAATTGATTTGTGTGTGGTACACATTTATCAACCATCAGTGATCAATATTTTCCTTATTTTTTGTGTAATATTCCTTAATTAATTATTTATTTGCGTGATAGGCCGAATGAAAGGACTAGACCCACATTACATACCGTAACCCTACATTCATCGAGTATTATCAAAAAAATAGTGCAAATTGACGATTTTCCAAATTCTAATACCGAAAATCTCCATGCTGTAAATCTGATTCAGCCACCACTGGCGGTGCGGCATCTGCCGGATTCGATGGTTAAAAGTGATCCGAAATTAATCCATAACTCCCTCCGATGATTTTCCAGGAATCTTGTGGGAATGTATCTAGTGTTTCTAGCGACGACATTGACTTAGGAATTCCTGCATCAGTTTACCTACAAAAAATACTCCTCGAAATCTCCTAATGACATCCCAAAAGTAGTTTGCGATGAATTATTATGAGTGAATTTTTAAAAGATTTTTATATATTCTGTTCTACGGATTTCAAAAGCCTACTGAACACTATCGTAAGAACACTACAGTTAGACAGACTAAAAACCGAAAATTGCCATAGATAAACATATACAAAGAAATTGTGAGTTAAAGTTGAATTCATTACAGAAAATGCAATAAAAGTTTGCGGAAATCAAGCTGAAATGCTTTAATAGTTAATATTACTATGTAGACTTTTAGTTATGTGTATGTAGGTTCTAGAGCAGTTAACGGAAGGCAAGCTACGGTTGCATGCTACAGAGTTCTACCAGAGAGTGCATAAGCTTCATAACACTACACTGCAATCACTCACATTGTTCTGATCACCGACATCGGCGACGTGCAGTGATTCGATACAGATGATGAAATTTTCCTTCATGTAGCCGGGATTCTTGATTGATGGTTAGTAGCATTTCAGATTCCACACCGTCCGCCAACGTACCATGTGCCAGAAGTCAGAGGCCAGACAGAAGACGTTTCCATTCGCGTCATTTCGCGGGATTTTTCCACACATGGTTCCATTCAAAAGGAAGGAAAGCGAGTCACACATACACACAAATGCACACAAACACCCACATCCAATCAAAATCACACATTCACAAGCGCCGGGACAGGAGGTTGATGTGATTAATGGACACAGCCACGGGGGCATTTATTTCGCACGATTGCAGAAGAAGGACGTTGCAGTTTCCGGAACCAGGTATCCACAGTTTAGGGTTTAGGGTTAGTTGGAAAAAAAATCACACACCAAAATCCACACCCCACCCAGATAGCAGCAGCGAGAGTTCAGATAGTGAGTATATGTGTTGAATTTTTTTTTTGGTGTTGGTTCGAAAATCATGTTTTAGGATGGAGGTTGATATTGTTCGCATGTAAAGAGAGCAGAGCAGAAAAAAGAAAAACAAATGATTAGATTTTTCACGTAGTCGGAATCACTTACGTTTTCCGTATTTTCGTCTCCATCGGCATGCAGCGTTTCCACCATCAGCATCATCTTATCCTTCATCCATTTGGGATTCTGTGTGTTTTAGGATTTTAATAAGTTTCGCTTTCGGTATACATTTGAATTGGGGATTAATTGTTTGGTATTATATTGGTTTTTGCGGGACTCGGAGATTAATTATGAGCAGTTCATTGACGTTGAATGATAAGTTTTCTTCTGGTTTTTTTAGGATTGAAGGAATGATCCCGAATGGACAGTTCAAAGAAAAACGTACAGAGAAAATGAGCTTTCATTTGCTTGGACTTGATTCGATGTACATAAAATATAACTTGTAATATTTTAATCAGTTTATGTTTATCACTAAAATTCATGTCTAAGCGAAGGAGGGGCATAGTGAGCTCGCTGTTCATTAGCGTTGGATTTCTCATGATTCAAAATAAATTAATTGGTCATTAATCATTACAATGGTGATATTGAACCTACTATCATTTAATTTGTATCGAACAATTAGAGGCAGGCCTGAACATACTCATTACAGATAAAATACTTATTTTCGAAATTATGAAACTATGAGATATTATAATAATAATTTGTATATATAAGATGCAAGAAGAGGAGGTAAAGTTTGTGTATGTCAATTTCGCTTCCATAGTGTTACAATTAGCGATTAGCTAAAACGAATAGTACTCACTCATGACGATTAATCATTACAGCTAAAATAGCTAATTATGACCCTCTGAAAGCGAAATTGACTCTTCTTGCATCTTACATATACAAATAATTATTATACTATCTCATAGTTTCAAAATTTCGAAAAGTAGTATTTTAGCTGTAATGAGTATGTTTAGGCCTAATTAGAGGTTTGGGACTGTAGTGCGGAATGCTCATTATGCCCCACCAGTTCACTATGCCCCTCTTACCCATACTGGGTGTAAAAATGTACGGTGGCAAAAGAAAACAGTTTCAATCTACAATAAACCGCATCTGATGAAGCAACTGATTTCCATCCAGTTCTCGAAAAAAGAAAAACAAAATAAATTTCAGGGAATTTCGCATCATCATTCACGATCATTAATATTTTCCACTGCATGCGCTATCTACACATTCACCACTTGTAAACCTAGCTCTTTAATATTACACACGCAACGCTCTAGCTCCGAATCAGCCTAGGAAGCTATACCAATAGCAAACGACAGGAAATTACTTCCAGATCATTTGCTAATTTAAAAAGCTCCCTCCTGGCGTGGCTGGTTGACTAGCATCCCACCCCCACTTTCGCTTCCCATCCAATAGTTGTACAAAGTATCCCAAACCCTGTCGTAGATATATGGGAGTCCCGATTCTCTCTGTACGTTTTTCAGTCCGGGTCATCGGAACCGAGGTGAGATGGAAATTTTGTCTTTTGTTTTTTTGCCTCTATAGGAAAGTTTGGTATATCCTTCCGGGAGCAAGGGCCCTCTTGTTCGCTGATGGGTAGAACACGCTGGGAATGTGATCAACTACGCTATATACATACGGTTATAACTGTCCGGCAGTAGGGGTATGCATTCCAAGCCTCTTCGTGCACTTCCAGGGATCCCTTGGGCGCTAGCAACCGGATGAATGCTGGGACCTTCGATGCCAGGTGATAGATTTTGTAGGTATACTGACCGGATGAGTATTTACCTCCTGCGAAAAGAAAGAGCAAAATTGAGGTTGAGTTCAATCTGTCGAACAATGAGCAGTTGTTCTAGGGAGGTGCAAAGGCTGAAAGTATCTCTTCTTATTTTTCTTCTTTGGTTTTATTACGTCTCTACTGGGACTTTACGCCTCTTTGGGCACTTCCACAGTTGTTAATTTAGCGCTTTCTAAGCCTGTATCATTTTTGCACTAGTGTAATTAATTAATTAATTTATCTTTATTAGGGAGGCTTTCAGCCTTGGGCTGGTTCGCCTCCACACTAGTGTAGGGTAACAAGTACAATCAGATTCTATAGCCAGAATCGAGATATTTTTCAATGCGAGAATTCCTAAATTAGACCGGGAATCGAACCCAGCCGCCTCCAGTATGGTCCTGCTTTATAGCTGCACCTTTACCGACTGAGCTAAGGAAGGTTGTGAAAGTCTCTCTACTGAAGATAAATAATTACAATAATTCTAGTGAAGTACGATATTCGCTCGATTACCGATTGGTTTTCAAACGTTTGATGGTTAGAAATTAAATGAACACGCAATCCACCAATATTTAAACACACTCAGGTCTACACGAGGGTTATCGGTTATGTATCTTATAAAAAAACAATCAAGATTGAGTACTTTTATATTGGACATTCAGTCCATCTCATGTGACCGAACTAGTTGCTTTGACCGTTTCCGATTTTAACCAAAATTGTCGGCGTTGTCACCCATTTACTATTACCGGCAACCAAAATTTAAACGTTACTTTCACTGTATTTTCCCATCAAAATACTTCGCTGATCGTATTTAAACGATTCCTTAGTCTTTAAGCATCAATCTGATAACATTTTTACGACTGAGCAATCCTGTTATACTAGATTTACAAAATGCGGCTGATTTCGAGTTGCCCATAATAGAACAGCTGGTTAACATGTAGTTCATATGGTTGTCGAAGAAAAAGCGACTGCCGAAAATATGTAGTCACACACACCTGAGTAGTTTGAAGCGATTTAAAAACGCTTTCTAACAGTTTTGTACAATTCTGTCGATTGGAATGAATAGAGAAGCAAGCAGCACATAAATGTTAACAAACAAACACGTCATATGTGTGCTCCTTGATGCGCCTGCCTCTTAGTTGAGACATAATTCGAATTTTATGTAATACCCATTGTGAAGGATTTCTTCAATGAACTTTGCTTTATTTTAGAGGTACAGAAAAAGGTTTAACGAAAATTACGTTTTTTTTTCTCGTTGAGTGATTCTTATATAAAAAATCCGCAGCATATTTTGGCGTCATCAGAATTCAATTAAAAGCGTTGAAATTTTGAGATAGGAAAATGACTCTAATGTTGGCCTATGGATCTAAGATTGGGCTCATCGCTAAAAATCTGCTATTTATCAATTTTATCTAGGGACGGTACTAAAGGATGTTTTTGGTCGCTATTAAAAATTTAGTCGATTGCTGAATTTATGTATGGGCCCAAATTAGGGGCATTAAGGCCGACATTACATCCATTTCCGCTATATAGTATAAAATAGAATTTTTATGTTTTCGTTAGATCCATTATTCTTATAACCGTGAGCTGCTATTTTAGTTATGCAATAGGTATGATTTCTAACCGGACACCCTTTCAAACATGAGCAGTTCTTTGGAGTTTTGATGTTCTAGTTATGTTTGGGCTTTTGTCCATCAAATGCAGCATGCCATCAAATTTAGAAAAATTAAAATTTAATGAATTTGAGAGATTCTTCCTTCATTTAAACATGTGTAGTTCATTGAGACTTAGAGTTTTTTAGTGGTTAAGAGTTCCACACTGTGCCAGCAGTAAAGACGTTGCACAGTACAGGCCAGGGTCAATTTCGATTTCGCTTATTAATTTGCAACCAATCAACATTCGGCCAAATGACCCGGAACCGTTTGAAGATAGTTTCAAAAGAATTACTAAGAGAATTATAAAAATGTTGAGGGAATTTCAAGGAGTTTCCAGGAGGGTTTTTCAACAATTTTTCGCAGATATTCGTTGAAAAATTACAGGAAATCTGTGAAAAATTACCGAACTGTTTACCGAACGTTCAGCTGTTGAGATTTCGGTGAAATTTCACAGATTTCGGTAAAATAATCTAAGTGTGCAGGTGTGGGAGCTGCCTCCTTGGCGTCGGTGGCATTTATTATTTATGCTCATTACGGAAAACAAGATTAGCATTAGCATTAGCATCGAACAAGTTGCAAAATATCGTAGGTATGACAAATTCAAAACTTCTAAGAGCAAGACTGATATCTATTGCTGAACTGATAGTAAGTAGGAAATGATTACTCTCTCCCTGATAAAGACATATCCCGCTCCAACAGTTACGGAAAATAAGATCGACGGAAAACCAATCAAAGAAAAAATGACTCTAGGACATTGCTAATTTTCTGCTAAGATCGCAGGCGAAATCTTTATATCCTATAGGGTTTAGATCTATCTTTGGGCCTCCTAAGCACAACCCACATGTTTCGTCTATTTTTCGAACGGAATTTTTAACAAAATGAAATGTTCTCACTGCAGATGCCTTCCAAATTTATTTAACTTTCCGTACGTATCGCAAGATTCGATAAAGAGTAACATATTGTTGAGATATTGTTAAAAATCTAACACTGCTTCTTGACCCTAAACATGGCTTACGGATTCTAAACTTGGCCTAACGTATTGAAGCGCCATAGAAACGCAATTGAATTCACTTCGGCCTATTGGATGAAGATAAAAATTGATTCGGTCAGAGCGCGTCTTTTGTTTTTGAAAATAATGTGTAGATTTTGAACAGAAGTATCGTACTAAACGCATTATTGACTTGTTACCGCCGAAATCATGGTTTTATTTGATGTTTTCTGCTCGATAGCATAGCAAAGCAAATGCGATTGCACAAATCGTGGGGGCCTTTATAATGGTCAACCAATACATCTTGCAGAAAATATCGTGTGTTGCCGTTAAAAAACACTTGAGACTAAAGGTTTTCCCAAACATTAAAATTTGCAGAACAATCATCGCATTATACGCCTGGCCACATTCTTACAATCTCAGAGGATAAGAAGAAAAATTAGTCCAACATCTACTTAAGAAGGATATTTGATGCTTTTGCTCGATATGACCAAAATGGGCGATTAAGCCGAAGTATATCTCTACCCTACACACCAAAAAATTCTGAATTTTACTGGCGATGTAAACATCCATGCATGCAAACATTCATACATGTAAACTTCCGTTTCACGTAAACTAGCAGCTTGCAAGAAATGTTGCAAACAAAAGAGACCAGTTGCATACAATATATGGAATATTGCACGACATGTCTCATAAATTTACACGATCTATAATCTAAACTTGTATGATATATGACGCTCCATTTATGTGCATCATAGTAACGTAAATTTACACTACTTTTTTTTAGCTGTGTACTATGCATATTTCAAGAATGGAGACGAAGAGGTTACCCGAGCAAAGCTGGAGATCAAATTGAAATCAAAATGTGCTGTTATGATGTAGTTTATTTTGAATACTTAAGTTGATCTCATTTTGGTTGACTTAACGGTTAACACATCAAAAATGAGAGCAAAATTTTACATTGTTGAATCAAACGGAAAACTGATCCTGCTTTCAATGAAATCAATTAGATTACTGATTTTGCATTCATAATATTTAACTGAATACGGGTCTGGTTTAAATTGTTAGCATCCATGCTTCTCACACTAAAAGATTTGAGTTAAAATCTCACCCGGACAAGTCACGAATGACCTAAAATGTGTTGAACAAAACGAATTGACAATAATTGTTAGTTCAACGACAGATGAATTTATATTAAACTTTCAACAAGACGTTAACAGCAGAATTTGAAGTTAAGTTGCTTTCATTTAAAAAGTCTTGGCTGCATAATGAAAGCACAATATGATATCAGACTTCTGTCGTAACAGTTGAAATCAAAATTAGTCTTCATTATGATAGGAACTGCAAACTTTAATATCAATTTGCTTGCATTTTGTTAACCGACTTTGCTCGGGTAACCATTGATGTGCAAAATTGATATCCGACGTTGTTTTGGAATCCAAGTAAAGTATTGGGTTCTTTACAATATGGGTATTTTATCGAAACGACGACGACTACGTGTAGAGATCAAAAATTGTTGACCGATGTCAATTTGGATTACAAGAAGACATTGATTTTCAGCTTCTACTGATCGAGCCCATTCCCAAAATACCCATATTGTATGTTTTCAAATGCATATTTGCTATACGTAGGCCATCATCTTGAAATTCAAAATGACGACAGACATTGATTATCAGCTTCTACTAGTTGAACCCATTTCAAAAATATCCATATTGCATGGTTTCAATGCATATTCAAAGTCCGGATCCAGGCTAGGGTAGTGAACCGACGACTAGTACTGCGCGACAAATTTCGTCAGGGTTCACTGAAATTAATATTTTATTCATGAATCCGACGTTAACGTGATAGATGAATGTTCTAACTTGAACTAACTTGATGATGAAATTCATCATCATGAATTGATGTGTCATGAATTGATGCATCGAAAGGTAGGGTTCAGGTGTGGGAGCTACCTTCCTGGCGTCGGTAGCATTGGTACTCAGTACGGAAAACAAGACCGACGGAAAAAAAACGTGGTGAACCAGACCGGTTGAGCGATTTACGAAACCGCGCGGTTCACCAAGATTACCAATTACTTCGTCACGTCGGTTCTTGAACAATTATCAGTTGAATAAATATCGGATTCGAATTATGATTTGTTTAAACATATTGAATACGCCATGATGAAGTTTTTTGGGAGATTCAAAATGGTCGAATTCCAGCTCAAATGTGAATGATATACCATAACAAACAATTATGTAAGCGGCACCGGTGGTGAGGTGGTAAGCATGATTACCTCTCTTCCCAGCAGGCCTGGGTTCAATCCCAGTCAGCGCCGCCGGGATGTTCTGAGGCATAACATCTCTGATCACGGGAAGTAAAGCCGATGGTCCCCGGTTCATTAGTTGATGGATCGATAGGTAGGGTACAGGTGTGGGAGCTACCTCGCTGGCGTCGGTAGCATTGGTGCTTAGCACGGAAAACAAGATCGACGGAAAACAAATCAAGGAAAAAAAACAATCAATTATGCAAAGTTTCATGCAAAGGTCCCACGATACTATCTCGAAAATAATGTTTTACTGACTCTGTGTGATGAAATTCAAAAACAAATGTTTATTATAAGTTTCCTCTGTGGTTGCAGTCAATGAAATCTTCATTAAAATACTGCCTCGAATATGGTATTTTGATTTCCACACTCACTGTTTTTTTTTTTATAGAATTGAAACGAGTTCCAAAAAGCGTCGAAGTGAGATCCAAGTTATATTGGAGAATACCAACCACATGATGGTTTCCCTAACACGGTGACCTATTTCAAGTAGCTAAATTGAAGGTTGCAAGCGTGGCACTTTAGATTTAGAAGCGGAATGTCGATCGTGAAAACAAACTTACCTAACACAGACATCAAAGCTCAAGTAATCAATCTAGCTTTTCGAAACTTGAATTTAACTTTCCTTTAAAAAAATACCAATCAAATGGCAAATGTTTCACTGTGTATAATGGATGTTAAAAATAAATAGTATGCTGGTATGCCGGTATGCAAACAAATTGAACATCCCAGCAATGTTGTCCCAAAGCGATTGCGTATTAACTATTGATAATGAAGTGGACCTTCTCTACCAGAGCCGTATCGTGACCGAGATTTGACGAATGCTGATGGCATTGTGTGACTAAAGCCTCGCGTGTGATCGAAGCTATTTCTGATTCCAGCTGCTTGTCCTGACGTCCTCATCTTCCTATACCTATAAACCGCAAAAGAAAAAGAGTCCCATGAACTGGTCAATTACCAGCTTGTTCAGCTCAACATTCTTACACTGGCGTTAGACGATACCGGCGTTGCAACCCACTTCGTTCTTTACTATTCGTATATAACCGTACCGTTGACAGAACTGAGACGAATGGTTAATGTCTCATTTAATTACCCCCCATCCACGATGAACAAGTATTCATACTTCGATAACCTTGGCAGCGACTACCCGTAACGGATTATGCTGTGGTTAACCGATCCATGGGCAGAAGTAACTTGGCCATAATCGCTTGACTCGAAACGCATTCAGCTCCTGTATGCGAACTCATGTGAATTCTATATTCGCGCCGCCCAATAAAATGCTCAGCGCGTGTAGTCAATTAGGTACACTATGCTGGATGTATTCTACTCAGTAACCGACTCCTTTAATCATTTGGCACTAGCTTAACGAAATATCCCGCACACAAGTAATAGAAAGCGTAACTCACCGAGAAGTGGGTAGTTGGTGAAAGGTTCATTTTTTAGCACTTCTATTCCTTCGCCGCCTCCGGTTTCATTTTTCGACACCTCCGCCACCGAATAGAGCTGTCCCACTTGATACTGTAAATAAATTCGGAGAAGAAAAATTAAAAATTAATAAGGATGAATTTCAGCTGGCATGCAAGATATCCGAAGACGACGACGACGACGACGACGATGATGATGATGATGATGACGACGATGGCTTCGATCAAATTTATTTCAACGACCGACCTCCTCCTGCCACTGTGGTCCAAGATGGCAAAAAGTGTAACTTTATTCCTAAAGCTTGCCCTTTTCATTTAAGCCATCAAGAGTCTTCAGTTAAGTCTTCCTATGATAAAAAACTAACTAAGATATAGAGGCATCATGTCTTCAGCAAAGTTGTAGAAAATGACAAAACAAACAATTTTGCCGAAGAAGGGAAAATACTATGTCCAGTATTTTTAAAATTCCGGAGCATTTTTTAGGCCATCTCCTTTAAATTTCGCTTCTCGAACATAACTTTTTAGGGATACATGTTTTCAACATACATACAATGTTCTAGCCATTATCAGAACCACAAAAACACACGTTTTTGTTAACTTCATGTGCTTATTGGGGAAATGGGGCAAATGGAAACACACAAACTACCTATCGGCTTGAATTTTAGGTCAAGAACGATAAAGTTGTCAAGGTTTAGCCTTATGTTTAAAAGGTTGAAGAACAATTAGTTTAAAGCAACTTTGCTGAAGACAGCAAATTTCTATCTTTTATGGTTAGAGTGGCCCATAAAAAATTGATTTTCTTTGAATATCTTTTCATACGTTCATTTTTCGTACAAACTTGATTCTAGACACTTTTAGAACTATATGACGCATATTTTTGCTGAATCAACCAGGTTGCTATCTTTTCTGATTAGAAAGTTTTTTTTTCCTCTGTTCGGGACCTAACACCACTGCGAAAAGGTATTCAATGAAAACTGTGTTTTTTAGGGGCCACCCAAACCTACTTGTTCAAAAAAATCATAACTCATGAACCATAAGAGATAGAAATTTGGTGTCTTGAGCAAAGTTGCTTCGAATTGATTGTTTTACAACTTTTTAGAACATTGCATTGCTCTATCTCAAATTAAAAAAATAGTTTGTATTTTCAATTGCGCTTTGGTCACAGAGCGTATAGGGCGTCGTATGTAGTATGAGAGAGTGATTGCAGTTAGATCAAAAGTGCCTGAGAAAAATGCAAGCATTTTCGCGGATTACCCGGAGCTGCGATAGTGAAGGTATGATCACAGACAAGCAGATATAACATGCTTAAGATGTTCATCGAAATCGCTTTTAACGGTTAATTTAAATGCTTCTTAGTTGATGGTACCGCGGTACTTGGTAATTGTTGATGGTACCGATGGTACTTGCGGCGCACATAATAAATTTCCTTGCGTTTGACGTTTACACACTACAGCCATCTGTTGTATGTATTACCCATCACGACAGCTATATATACCCATCAGTGTATACGACAGATAATGGTAGGGTTTAAATTGATAAATGTTCAATGTGTTGTGTCTGTTTGTCTGTGATATAACATTGAGGTAACGTTAGGATAAAATCAAAACATTGAGAAATATAACGCATCACTTTCAGGAATACTTCACTTCGTAACCGATGAACCATTCTGACGGCCATATGAGTACCCAAGTAACCATTTAGTCGCAATATAGCTTGTATTTATCTACTTTGCTTCAGTATGGTTAGTTGGGGAATCTGATGAAACAATCATTTCTTGAAACTAATCCCTTTCGTATTCCATTAATCCTCTTTTCGCACTTTGCATACCATGTCATACTAATCTCTACATTGATTCAATGACTCATTCCGAGTGCTCGGTGGACCAGCGACTTAAGACGCGAGCCTTATGCCATATGACCACGGCAATACAGTAACAGATGGTGGACATGAGATCGACCACACCAACCACCGAGGAAGAGTAAACATCGAACCAGGTACGGAATTTGTGCGGATTTATCTCCCTCGGGGAACAAGAAAAACCCGGATAAGACGGAATCATGTCTGAACCGACCAAGGACGATCTACGGAAGGAAATTGCCGGTGAAGTGCGGAATGAAATACGAAGCGTTAGAGTAAAAGTACAAGTTATTCCAAGAGAAGCCATCAATGGCGGCAGACCAGCGGAACATAGTTAGACCTAGCCAATTAATATTTATAAATTAAACATCAAAATTAAACTAAATACGCGCTAGGTTTGAAAAGAATATTTTCGAACCTGGAAGTGTGTATGTAATACTGATATCCAATTGATAGAGGTAACAAATACATGCGGGGCTTATTGTAAGTGAAAGTAACTTCGGAATGGACGTGACTCTCCAGACATTCTTAAATGGGTTGCTGGATCTGCAATAGAGCTATCACCTTCTAACTCCCGGACTAATGCTGTCTACAATCACCATAAATACGGCATTGATGATAGTCCTTCCATAATAACACTGCCGGCCAGTGGGGGTTAGAAGGAATATACACACACACACACACTCCTCCGAAATAATACAAGTGGTTCCGGGGGAAAAAGGCAAGGCGTCCAAGGAGGTTTTAGTGCGGTAAGAATCCCACACACCGTGTCACCGCGACTGTGCGCCCAGTCATCAAGCGGTGGCACGATGGCCTTTTGAAGGTTTCCTACCAGCAAAAAAAAACACACACGCACCAATTTTATGGACCACCCTAATATCACTAACATAGAAATATCGGCCAAAACCTATGACGAAACTTTCCCTAAGCCACCATTTACCTGAAAGTCTTCCTAAATACGGCTTTGGGACCATTGTGCATTGTATGCTGAAAACGTGTATCCATAAAAAATTATGATCAAAATGCTAAATTTAAGGGAATTGCCATAAAAAATGCTCCATAACTCTGAAAATACAGGACAAAGAATGTTTCCTTCTTCGCCAAAGTTGCTTGTTTTATCTTTTTTTTTTTTCAATTTTGCTGAAGTCATGATTCTTCTACATCATAAAAAAAGTTAGTTTTCGATTTTTATCATAATAATAAGGCATGACTATTATGTCTGCGTTCGAAATGTGGAGGATGTTTATACAAAAAAAAAAATCTTCTCAAGACACTTTATAACTAAAATTAAAAGGACAAGTTCTAGGAATAAAGTTCTACTTTGCCATTTTGGACCACGGTGCTTTCTCCACGTGTTCTGCGTGGTTTTCACGCCTTCGGTTCAATTTTCAACACACACGAGATAAAAGTGAAAGATCAGTACATGGTAAGAATAAAGTTTACACCAATTTCAATAAAAAATCTACTCATTAATGGGTAATTGATTTTACCGATTATTGAGTAACTGATTACCCATTACCTGAGTAGCTGGTTTTATTATTAAAAAAATTATATCAGAACATCTCATTTTTTTATTAGCTTGTTTGAAATAAGAGTTTAAATATCAAAAATGATAATTGAGAACCTATGGAATCATAACTAAATAATTACTGTTGAGACAAATTCGGATTCCCTTTGTAGCACGCAAGGTTAGGTTCGTATAGCGAGCTCAAAGCTGTAAGTTTATTCACGTAAAGTTAATTAATCGAGTGACAATAAAGAATTCAATGTACCTACATTTGGTTTCCTAATCCTTTAATTCAAGAAAGCACAGTCAGGATGACGGTATAAATTCAGCAATATACTATTTCGTACCTTATAAGCTACAAATTCTAATCTCTGCCTTTTTTGTGATTAACAAAGGATGGTTTTGGATAATAACTATAGGAAATGGTAATGACAGCTACCCATCAATGGTTGTCAAAAGGCTCACCAAGAAGTGATATTATTCCGATGCGCAGGGTTGGGTGAAGCCGGACGACAGTGGCGTAGTTCGCCCCCAACAATTACAAAATGATTTGAACTGCTAATAAGCTATTATAGAAAAAAAAAAAATAAAAAAAAAAGCATCAGCATGGATTCAAAGAGTCTCGAACCCAGGCGACTGCGTGACTGTCGCAAGTGTTGACCACTATCCCATATTAACGTTTTGAAAAAGGGAGGACAAAGGATCAACAGATTCTTCGATTTTCAAGGATCATACAGTTCAGCGATAAAAATAAATACTCTAGAGCAGACATTGACATGAACTTTACGCAGGGGTGTTTTTCTAATTGCTCAAGATTAACTCGTTTTGCTATAGATAAGATATTCTTGTCAGCGTACGAGATATGAGTATTTATGGTATGGTATGGTATCTCAACAAACACTGGAAGCAGAATAAGAGCTTAAAAATATGCTTTTCCAGCTAAAAAATGGCTTATTCAGCCTTTAATCAGCTAAAATTGTTTGTTGGGATGGTATTACTGGTGCAATTTATTAATTATATAGGGTAATTGAATGTAGTTTCATTCCACCCCTTTCACCAGTCTCTAAAGGGAATATCCATAAATGACAGTTTGAGGGTTTAGGAGAGGGGGTGTCCCAAAGTTGTGATGTTCCATGTGTAAGCTTTAGCAAAATATGCTACGATGGAGGGGGTTTGTCTTAATTGGTCGAAAATATGCTACATCATTTATGGACGGTCGTAAAACATGTTTTTCAAATGTTATTGATTCAATTTGGATAAATGTTCTGTTTATTTTCTTTAGCAATAACAATTAGAGACAGATTTCGGTTATAAGCTGATAAGATCCCAAAATTTTAAATAGCGTTTGTTTTGAGAACCACTTTTCATTTTGTCAAATTCTGAAGTTTTATTTCCTAGAAATCTGGCCACATGTATAACATTTTTGGATTAAAAATACATTGTTTTTACATTCTTCGGACCATTAATTTCAAACGCAGTTAGAATTTTTCATCATATCAATGAATGAATCATTTTAATCTATGCAGGATACAGCACATTACGCAGTTATTCAGGTTATGATGAGAAATAGTTATGCATTTAAAGTTCTCCATGATTGCTTAAATTTTTATAAAATTGACCATCCAAATCCCTGTTTTAATATTGTAACCATATTATTATTTTTATGTTTTGAGATTTTAAAATAAAGTAGCTTCTATCTACGCAAATGTTTTGAGTTTAATCCAAAATTA